AAGAAATTTCAGGTTTGATAAAAGATGGATTGGGAAAGAAGGATTACTCGAGGCAATTTCAAATGGTTGGAATTCTAAGTTAGGAGAGGAAAATTTTGTGGAAAACTTGAAGAATTGTAGGCGGGCTATCTCGCAGTGGATGAGAGATTTAACTCCCTATGGGCGGCAAACAATTGAGGAATTAAAATCGGAATTACTTGTGGCACAGAGAGATGATAAGAGACCAAGGGAGGAGATTACAGAATTAACTTTGCGGTTGCAAGAGGCTTATCGAGATGAGGAATTGTATTGGCATCAGAAAAGTAGGTGCTGTTGGATGCAATTAGGGGATAATAATTCAAATTATTTCCATGCACTAACAAAACAAAGACGGGCTAGGAATCGAATAACGGGGTTACATGATGAAAACGGGGTTTGGTCGGCAAAGGATAAAGATGTTCAAAATATAGCGGTGTCTTATTTTAAGGAATTATTTACTACAACTAATCCTGAGGCTTTTGAGGAATCTTTCGCAGAAGTGCAAACTTTGATTACGGATCAAATTAATAATTTTCTAACGGTACCCGCGACGGAGTGTGAGGTGAGAACGGCTCTGTTTATGATGCACCCGGAAAAAGCGCCTGGACCTGATGGTATGACAGCTTTATTTTTCCAAAAGGCTTGGTTTACTATTAAAACAGATCTTCTTTGTCTGGTTAACTCCTTTTTAGAGGATGAAATTTTTGATAAACGGCTAAATACGACTAATATTTGTCTGATTCCAAAAACGGAAAGACCAACACGGATGACGGAATTACGGCCTATTAGTCTTTGCAATGTTGGGTATAAAATTATATCAAAGATCCTTTGCCAAAGACTTAAGACGGTGCTCCCAAAACTGATTTCGGAAACACAATCGGCTTTTGTAGAAGGACGCTTGATTTCGGATAATATTCTCATTGCAAAAGAGATGTTCCATGGGTTGAGAACTAACCCGTCTTGTAAAGGCAAATTTATGGCCATTAAAACGGATATGAGCAAGGCTTACGATAGGGTATAATGGATTTTCATCGAGAAGGTCTTAAGAAAGTTGGGTTTCCGTGAAATGGATTAAATGGATAATGTGGTGTATTACAACGGTCCAATATAGAGTTCTCCTTAATGGACAACCTAGAAGACTAATAGTACCAGAGAGGGGTTTACGGCAAGGAGACCCGCTCTCACCTTATTTATTCATCCTTTGCACAGAAGTGCTCATTGCAAATATTCGGAAAGCTGAACGGGAAATATTAATAACGGGCATCAAAGTGGCAAATGCAAGCCCTTCGGTTTCACATTTGTTATTTGCGGATGATAGTTTATTTTTTTGCAAGGCTAACAAGGACCAATGCGGGATAATTTTGGGGATTTTAAAGAAGTATGAAGAGGTCTCGGGACAGCAGATCAATTTTTTAAAATCCTCGATTCAGTTTGGACACAAGGTAGATGATGATATCAAGGAAAAAATCAAATCTACCTTAGGTATCACTAATATCGGTGGTATGGGTTCTTATCTCGGATTGCCGGAGAGTTTAGGGGGCTCTAAGACAAAAATTTTCTCTTTTGTCAGAGATAGACTACAAACAAGGATTAACGGATGGTCGGCAAATTTTTATCAAAAGGGGGAAAAGAAGTGATGATTAAATCGGTAGCTGCAGCACTACCAACTTATGTTATGTCGTGCTTCAGACTACCGAAAACAATCACTTATAAACTTACTAGCGCGGTAGCAAATTTCTGGTGGAGCTCAAATGGTGACTCCAGAGGTATGCACTGGATGGCATGGAACAAATTGTGCAATAGCAAATCGGACGGGGGGTTAGGATTTCGGAATGTGGACGATTTTAATTCAGCTTTACTAGCAAAACAATTATGGGGGTTGATTACGATTCCAGATTCTCTATTCGCAAAAGTGTTTAAAGGACGATATTTTAGGAAATCCAATCCTTTGGAAAATATAAAATCATATTCTCCATCATATGGATGGCGGAGTATATGTTCAGCTAGATCTCTGGTTAATAAAGGACTTATTAAAAGAGTCGGATCTGGGACATCCATCTCAGTGTGGGAGGATCCCTGGATTCCAGCTCAATTCCCGAGACCAGCAAAAAGTAATGGTTCAGTTACTGACCCATCTTTAAAAGTCAAAGACCTTATAGATAGTCGGTCGAACTTTTGGAATATTGATCTCTTAAAAGCGATCTTTAATCTAGAAGATGTCGCTCTAATAAGCGCCATACCTGTGGGTGCGCCAACAAAAGAAGATTCTTTGGGTTGGCATTTTACAAAATCCGGAAAATATACAGTCAAATCGGGATATCATTCTACACGGATGGAGAAGTCGGAGACCAATTTAAACTTTTTTGGCTCTAACATCAACCCGTTAAAAGCATATTCTTGGCAAGTGTAGTGTCCACCTAAGATACGCCATTTCATATGGCAAATCTTAACGGGATGTGTACCGGTTTCGGAAAATCTGCAGAAAAGAGGAATTGATTGTGACACGGGGTGTGCCAGATGTGGCGCATCAGAGGAAACGATCAATCATACACTCTTTCAGTGCCACTCGGCACGACAGATTTGGGCACTTTCACAGATTCCTACGGCTATGGGGATTTTCCCCACAGAATCTAATTTTACGAATTTGGATCATTTATTTTGGAGAATACCTACGGAATTTGATTCATCAGCCTTCCCATGGATTATTTGGTATATTTGGAAAGCAAGGAACGAAAAGATCTTTGAAAACATAGATACAGACCCAGCAGAAGTATTACGATTAGCGGAAAAAGAGGCACAATTGTGGCAGTCAGCTCAAATTGAGCTCCATAATGAAAATCATGGTTCTGTGGACTTGGTAAATGAAGATCGAGTGAGGGATATTTCACTTGAGGCGGAGTATTCGGAATACCGTTGTTTTGTGGATGGATCATGGAAAGAATGTGATAGGTTCTCTGGTACAGGCTGGTTCTGTACATCGTCAAATGGAGAGCCGCCAACCATGGGAGCTGCGAAACTCCGTAGAAGTCTATCTCCACTACATGCCGAAGTCGAGGCCCTTCTCTGGGCGATGATGTGTATGATTGGTGTAGATAACCAAGAGGTAGCGTTCTTTACAGACTGTTCAGACCTAGTGAAGATGGTGTCTTCTCCAACCGAATGGCCGACGTTTTCAGTGTATTTGGAGGAATTTCATAGCGACAAAGAGGAGTTTTCATCTTTTTCTTTATCTTTAATTTCTCGTAGGGCTAATAGTAAGGCGGATAATCTGGCACGAAAAGTTCGTACAGAACCGCTTCATATCACCTATGTAAACAACATTCCTCAGGAATGAGTCTTTTGAGCTCTAATTAATTGCGGATGACAAAAAAAAAAAAAAAACACTGGCTATTATTGGTATCCAATTTTAAAGCTGTACAGCTTTATACAGCTTTGACAGTTACCAATCACAAAAACTTTATGAAAAGCGGTACACTATAAAAAAAAAACTGTTTTTTTGGACAAAAACAAAAATAAATTAAAACGGTTACGGTTAAATACAGTTACGATTAAATACGGTTATAACGGTTACGGTTAAATACGGTTATAACGGTTACGGTTAAATACGGTTATAACAGTTACGGTTAAATACGGTTATAACAGTTACGGTTAAATACGGTTACGGTTACAACGGTTACGGATAATTATGGTTATAGTTATTTGATGACTACAATACGGTTAATATCGGAGGCAAAATCTTACGAGTTACCTAACTTATTATAATACTTTTCATAAATCAAAAAATATGTTACAAACCAAATTTTCTTCATTTCGAGCAAAATAACAGTATAACATATTTGTTTGAGAAAAAGACCATTTTTTAGAACGTAGATTTTTTCATATGCGGTATCATTTACTTTTTTGAAAATCTTAATCTGAATATTCGATAATTTTTTTGCATTATATGGAGTTACAATTATATTTTTAAAGTTTTAACTATGCGGTTAACCATATGGTTAAATAACGGTTTTCATATATTTACCGTTAATTAACGGTTACGGTTAATATATTTTTTAACTGTAACTAATTATTTTTTACGGTTACGGTTTTTAACCATTTTATACGGTTACGGTTGAGAAACGGTCCGGTTACGGTACAACATATGGTTACGGTTAGCTTTTGGTCATGCCTAGTAAGCATGACCAAAAGCTAACCATAACCGTATTTTGGATCGTAACTGGACCGTTTTTCAACCGTAACTGTATAAAACAGTTGAAAACCATAACCATTCACCGTAAAACTAAATTAGTTATGGTTAAAAAAAATATACTAACTGTAACCGTTAATATACCGGAAACGTATCAAAACCGTTATTTAACAGTACGATTAGCCGCATGGTTAACCGTATTATTAACCGCATAATTAAACTTTATAAAATATAATTGTAACTATGTATAATGCAAAAAAAAAAGTCTCGAATGTTCAGATAAAGATTTCCGAAAAAGTAAATAATACAGCCTATGAAAAAATCTCATTAGAAATAATGGTTTTTTTCTCAAAAAATTATTTTGGAATGTTATATTGCTCAAAATAAAGAAAATTTTATTTATTATAGGACTAGTAAATTCATATTATTATTCTAACAATAAAATATTGTTCATTCTATATAATCTTAATTTTCATATATAATTATATACTAAAGTATATTTCTATATAATTTTTTCTTTCTTTCTAAATTCTTAATATTATTTATTATGTGTACCGCTATGATGTTTCCAATCAGAATAAATTTTAAAATTTGTTCTGCGTTAATTTTTTGTACAGCTTTCGTGTTTTATTCTTTTGTACAGCTTTGCAGTATTCTCTAACAGCTAACAGCTCCAGCTAACCGCTCCAGCTAACAGCTAACAGCTTGTTACCAATCAGACCCACTATAACATCAAACTTCCATGAATAGAGAGAGTATATGATTTGCACAAAAACAAATTAAAAACTCAAGATGAATACGGGTCGGGTTGAACCAGGTCGGGTTTGAAAACCCGTCTAATTTATCAATGGAAAAACATCGAAACAGAGCAATTTTCAATGGAGCAAAACCCTAAAACCCAGAGGACATGGAGATACACATGGGAAGCTCAATCTCATTCTCCTAATCTTCGTCTCTTTCTTTTCGATTCCACAACAAACCCTAAGATCCACTGCAAAATCCTCAATGTCTCAATCATCCTCGAAAAATCTCAACTTCTCGTCACATGGATCAATGAAGAAGCCACACGCAAAGAAGAGATTGTTTCTCTTCATGTTCCGATTCCTAAGGTTTTACTTGATACTGAATCTCATGTAAATTTCAAAGCTTTAGAGGATCACATCGAGGTAAGACTTGTTCTGTTACTCCCTGTTGATCATCCTCTAGTCTCAGACTTCAATTTAGTGACTGATTCTAGAGAAAAGTCGAAGCCTTTAGTGATGGGTTATGATCTAAAGACTCTATCTTTAATGGGAGGAGTTCACTTTTACTGTAGAAATTGCTCAAATAGGTTAACAAAGAAGGAACTTTTCGATTTCTCTGAAATGCCGTCTATTAATTGGAGAGAATCTGCTGATAATTGGTTTGGTACTTGTTGTTGTTCATTTGGTGGAATTAGTGAGAAGATGGTAGTTAAGTACACGAATTCGTATACTTGCTCTAGTGGGTTGTGTTTACTTAGTGCTACTACTGTTTTGCTTAGCAAGGATGATCTTGTAGAGTGTAGCTTTTCTGATAAAGGTGGAATTGTAGACGAATTTGATTCGAGTTTAGCTCTGAGTTGTGATCTTGGTGTAGTTGAACCGGGTTCTAGAAGTAGTGAAGGAAATGCTGAGAGTCATGAGAATGGAAGTGAGAGTGTTTGTGGTCAAGCGGATGACTCGATTTTGCGTTGTATAGGTAATGAATCACTACCTGGATGTTGTGTACATGACTTGCCTGACTCTAATGAGAGTTTTCAGTTGGAGCAGAAACTTACACTTGATAAGAAGTTTCTTCTTGATGGGTTTCTTGAGGATGTTTTTATGGCGAAAGCATCGAATGTGTCGAAGAATGTCGACTGGATTGAATTTGCTTGCCCAAAGTGTTACTCTCCTCTTGGAGCTTATCCTTCTGGTGGTGGAAGCAAGGATAAACCCATAGATGGTGGAGTTAGACTCTTCAAATGTTATATTTCTACATCATCGGTGACGGGTGAATCCTTAAATGTTTTCAGGAAATACACATTGGAAAGAATGTTTACCAATCAGCTAGTGGAATGCGCCAAAGAAGAGTTATCATTTCATGTGTTGGTCAAAGATCTGACAACCAAATCCCCTCTGTTCAATATCGTTATCCTGAATCCAAACTCTTGGTCCTCGACTGGTCTTTGCTCGAGCCGAGATGAACCAGATTCCACATTAGAGTTAAGCGCTATTGTGAAGGTTCTGTTTTCAGATTGCAACAGCTCGGTAGCAAAGAAGATTGATGAAGAAGTTTACATTTTGAAGGGACAAGGAGAGGAGTTGATAGAGTTAATAAAATATGCGAGCAAATGTCTTCCATCTTCGTATACATATCTTCAGGGCTCACTTGTCTCATCAATGCATCGATGATAATGAATCTTTCTTCACTTTTTCAAGTTTTTTCTGGTTCAGTTTTGACTTGTTTAGTAACAACATTTGGTTTTGGTTTAGTTTTGGTTATTGACTTTGTTTCTAACTTTTGTACGCTTTTTTGCCTGTTTTCAATTGAATGAAAGGAATATTTCTTCCACATTGTCTTCTCTGATAATGATTCAAGATCTGAAGTTTGAAATATAAACTGATGTTAAACCTGGGATCGAAAGCTAACAGAGGAGATGAAGTGAAAATGTGTTTTCCTCTGTTTAATTGAAACGGGTGCAAAATTACAGTCTAGAGCTTGATTGGTTTGCCGCCAACTTGACAGGCGGTTGCGGCAACACGTGTTTGTTTGATACCAGTGTTAAAAGCGGTTTAGGAGGTCGTTTAGGCCAGACGCTCAAGCAACACCTAGACGTGTCTGCCTAGACCGTGGCGGTTACTTTCTACATGTTGGGATTAGGCATGGGCATTCGGGTACCCGTTCGGGTTCGGTTCTTTTTTTTCGGGTATCGGGTCTATTCGGGTAGGGGGTCAAGACCCATTCGGATATTCTAAAAATTCGGTTCGGGTTCGGTTCGGGTTCGGGTCGGTTCGGGTATTTTAATAAAAAAGCAAAATACCCGAAAATAACAAAAAAATACCCGGAATATTTTCGGGTTCGGGTCGGGTTCGGGTTTATAACTCATATATACCCAAATCTAACCGAAATATCCGATTTCTCGAAAATACATTGGTTACTCTTTATCCAAATATAACCAAAAATATCTAAAATACCTAATATATTCGGATTTATGATTGTAATTTTAGGTATTTCGGGTATTATAAATATAAAAATAACTAATATTTTTAGGTGTATATTTGTATTCGGGTACATTCGGGTATTGGATTCGGTTCGGGTTCGGTTCGGGTTTTTTTCGGGTAGGAGGTTAGGACTCATTCGGGTATTTTTAAAAATCGGGTTCGGGTTCGGTTCGGGTATTGTTCGGATTTTTCGGTTCGGGTATTCGGTTCCGGGTATTTTGCCCAGGCCTAGTTGGGATTATGCATTTTTGTTATTAAACGGATTCAAGGGGTTTAAAGCGATCCTAAGTGCTTTTAAGTGGTGTATTTTTCCAATTTCAAACTACATAGGTTTATATTTATATGTTTTAACTCATACATGATTATAAAGTATAAACATTCATATGTTGTTTGATATGAATGTTTTTTTCTATGATTTAGTATTTTTATTTTTCTAATGGATGTTTTGGTATACTTTTTACATATAATATTATATTTATAATGTTTTATGTTGTAACGCCTACACCACTTAAAATCGCGTAAGCCCCAATTAAACGTTCTAGAAGATGAGTCATCGCCCGCTTAGTGTCTAGCGCTTTCTTGAACATTGTTTGATACTAATCATATAAATTGTTTTGTACCGCTTTATACGGTTTGAAATCGCTCTAATTCAAAATTTCACCTTCTCGAGTGTTTTGATATATATATATATATATATATATTCTTAAATCTGAACCCGCTGTTTTTTAGGATTAGACCGGAATATACCGTAAACTTTAGCCTTAATCGACATGTCTACTGTCTCTGTTTTACACTAAATGTCATTTTGACACTTTTCCAATAAATTGAGGAAACATATTAATATTTTTACTATACCCTATAAAATTAAATTGATTCTTGGTATTCTATTTTTCAATAGATTTGAGGTTAACTTAGATTTATACTAAATTTTGTATTTAAAATAAAAAATTATTTTCAAACGACACACAATTTTAAACAGAGCGAATATTGGTTTATAATTATTGGGAAGTGTTTTGTATTGAAATCATGCATGTATATAATGATTAGAAAAAGTACCCTCTCTGTTTTTCAAAGAATGATGTTTTGGGTTTTCACACAATTTAAAAAAAAAAAAAAAATTTATACTTATATTTTATTATTTTTTTTTGTTATTTTAATAATGTTAATTCTATTTCTTTCTCCCTTCTATTGGTTTCAAATGAAAATAGTAATGATGTTTTGTAGAAACATCAATTTTTGTGGAACAAAATAATAAACTAAAACATCAAATTAGGAGGAAGAGAGGGAGTATTAAAATAATGATTTGAACAAAAAAAAAAAAAAAGTTAATGTGTACAAACTTACAAAATCAATATTCACATAAAACAGATAGAATGCACACCACACCATACTTGATGCTTGAATAAAAAAATATCAGCATAGAACTGAAGCGTTACAACATGATTAATTCCAAAATAATAAAAATGCAAAACAATTTTTTGTTTTACAAAATTAAATTGAAATAATTTGAACATACTAATAATTAGGTAATAATATCAGTTAAGGAAATGCATGGAAGACACGCGTTGCATGAACGATGCTAATGACACAAATTATCATCATTAACTTACTTTAACACTCTCTATATAAAGACAGAGACAGTGACAACAGAGACAGAGAGATAAGCTTAAGCCAAATTAAACAAAAATGGAGAAATAGTGACGGTGAGAGAGACTGTAATCGAAGCGAAGCAAAGCAAAGAGAGTCACGAGAAATCTGGGGTATGTGTTCAATGATAAAGCAATTTCATGGTGGGCGAAAATTGAATCCATCTTCTTCTTTTACCTAAAAAAAAGTTTCAATTTTTGAAAGCTATGAGAAATGAATCTATCATTCTCTCTCTCTATCTCTATCTTCCTTTTCAGATTTCGCTTCTTCAATTCATGAAATACTCGTGATTCTACTTTAATGCTTCTTTTACTTTTAAGTCTCTGAATATTCAAAGTAAAACTTTTGCAGAATTGTCTTCAAGCTTCCAAATTTCAGTTAAAAGGTTGAGACTTTGTGGTAAAGGTCTCAACTTTGGCGATGGTTCTTGACGGAAACAATGGTGGAGGGGTTTGGTTAGGTGGTGGTGGAGAAAGGGAAGAGAACGAGGAAGGTTCATGGGGTAGGAATCAAGAAGATGGTTCTTCTCAGTTCAAGCCAATGCTTGAAGGTGATTGGTTTAGTAACCAAACACATCCACAAGATCTTCAAATTTTACAGAATCAACCAGATTTCAGATTTCTTGGTGGTTTTCCTTTTAACCCTAATGATAATCTTCTTCTTCAACACTCTATTGATTCGTCTTCTTCTTGTTCTCCTTCTCAAGCTTTTAGTCTTGACCCTTCTCAGCAAAATCAGTTCTTGTCCACTAATAACAAGTCTTGTCTTCTCAATGTTCCTTCTTCTGCAAACCCTTTTGATAATGCTTTTGAGTTTGGTTCTGAATCTGGTTTTCTTGGTCAAATTCATGCTCCTATTTCGATGGGGTTTGGTTCTTTGACACAATTGGGGAACCGGGATTTGAGTTCTGTTCCTGATTTCTTGTCTGCTCGGTCGCTTCTTGGGCCGGAAAGCAACAACAACAACACAATGTTATGTGGTGGAGGAGGTGGATTCACTGCTCCATTGGAGTTAGAAGGATTTGGGAGTCCTGCTAATGGCGGTTTTGTCGGGAACAGAGCGAAAGTTCTGAAGCCTTTGGAGGTGTTAGCATCGTCTGGTGCACAGCCTACTCTGTTCCAGAAACGTGCAGCTATGCGTCAGAGCTCTGGAAGCAAAATGGGAAACTCGGAGAGTTCGGGAATGAGGAGGTTTAGTGATGATGGAGATATGGATGAGACTGGGATTGAGGTTTCAGGGTTGAATTATGAGTCTGATGAGCTAAATGAGAGCGGTAAAGCGGCTGAGAGTGTTCAGATTGGAGGAGGAGGTAAGGGTAAGAAGAAAGGAATGCCTGCTAAGAATCTGATGGCTGAGAGGAGAAGGAGGAAGAAGCTTAATGATAGGCTTTATATGCTTAGATCAGTCGTCCCCAAGATAAGCAAAGTAAACACTTACTTCTCTTCTTTTATCTCCTTAAGGGCTTTGTCTTCATCATTTACTTATTGCTCTTAGTTAGAAAGAATTGTTGTGTTGTAGCTTTTGAACACAACAATTAGCTTTTGAGGAAGAGGCTTGTGATAGTGTTTTATGGATTTTGGATAAATTTGCAGATGGATAGAGCATCAATACTTGGAGATGCAATTGATTATCTCAAGGAACTTTTACAAAGGATCAATGATCTTCACAACGAACTTGAGTCAACTCCTCCTGGATCTTTGCCTCCAACTTCATCAAGCTTCCATCCGTTAACGCCTACACCGCAGACTCTTTCTTGCCGGGTCAAAGAAGAGTTATGTCCATCTTCTTTGCCAAGTCCTAAAGGCCAGCAAGCTAGAGTAAGGACTATATTCTGTATAACTTTTGCTTAGACTGGACAGAAGAAAACAAAAATTCATGTTTGATACTTTACTCTGCTTCTTTTTCGCAGGTTGAGGTTAGATTAAGGGAAGGAAGAGCAGTGAACATTCATATGTTCTGTGGTCGTAGACCGGGTCTCTTACTCGCTACCATGAAAGCTCTGGATAATCTTGGATTGGATGTTCAACAAGCCGTGATCAGCTGTTTCAACGGGTTTGCATTGGATGTCTTCCGCGCTGAGGTGATCATCTACTCTAACTTAAAACAGTTAAGGATTTGTAGAAGATTTTAGTAGTAACATGTTTTATTTTTCTGTCTATTCAGCAATGCCAAGAAGGGCAAGAGATATTGCCTGATCAAATCAAAGCAGTGCTTTTCGATACAGCAGGGTACGCTGGTATGATCTGATCTGATCCTGAGTTGGAGTCCATTAAGCATCTGTTGAAGCAGAGCTAGAAGAACTAAGTCCCTTTAAATCTGCAGTTTTCTTCTCAACTTTTTTTCTTTTCTTAACTTCAATTTAAGCATGTAATGCAATTGCAAATGAGAGTTGTTTTTAATTAAGCTTTTGAGAACTTGGGGTTGTTGTTGTTGGATACATAACTTCAACCTGTTTTTTTTATCAATGTTAACTTCCATTTATGTTTCATCTTAGAGCTATGATCAAGAATTTCCTTCAACTTTGCTCTCATGAGTGAACTTCTCAAAGAAGATGGACAAAACATTTGCACATATTCAGACAAAACACTTAGGTTTTGGTATTAGTTGATGATAAAAATCTTGGAGCTTTTAGATGATGTAAGAATGAAGAACACACTCAGATTTTAAGAATAAACAGAGAAAAAGAATGGTAAAGGAAGAGGCAGAGCAAAGAATAGAACCCTACAAATTTTGTTTTTTTTTTCTTCTTTCTTTAAATGCTTAATTAAAAACTTTTATATACATACGTTGTATGTATCCGTACAAAATAAAGATTTAGAGAGATAGAGAGGAGACAGAGTTAATGGCGGTTAGAGACAGAAGAGATAGAAAGAGAGAGTCACGAGAAGGTAGAGGATGTGATGAAGTATGAAAGAAGAAAAGTAAAAGTGGTAGGTCCTTTGAATCTTTCAAAAAACCTAACCTTTTTTTTAGGGTTTTAGCTAGCTTCTCTGAATTTTCTATGATTTATCTTTTCTAGTATTAATGAAGTCCTCGTGATTCTAGTTTTTGATGATTCAAGCCGTTTCCTACTCTTTTATGTAACGTTTTCTCTGCCAAAGTCTTTCTCGTTTAAGGATTCAAACTTTTCAACTTTTCCGGTAAAAAAAAAACTACTTTTTACTCATCATTTTATCTCAACACGATTTCCAAATCCTGTGTTTTTACCACCAAGACGTACGAGTCCATGAGCTAAAGAATGGCTGAGAGAAGGAGGAAGAAGCTCAATGATAGGCTTTAGATCAGTTGTTGTCAATATCATGTCACAAAAAAGTTTCTTCCCTTTCTTTCTGGTTAAGAATAATAACTTTGAAATCTAGAAGAGGTAGAAGATGATGGATATACATGTTTGATACTATATACTTCTCGAGTTTATAACACGTTTCAATGGAACAATACTGTTCCATCTAAACTTGCTATTAAACTCGAGAAGTATATATCAAACATGTATTCATCACCTTAATTAATTCCTCTTGTAGTTTAATAACACCAGCCAATTCGGAAATTAAAGTTTCCGTTCGAGTTGGTTCTCAAGAAAGTAATCCCCAACCGTAGTTTTCAGTCTTAAGCACTTCCAAACAAAATTTTAACATGGTGAAAAAACTTTATTTTTGCAACTAAAAAGTAAAGGACAAGAACCCCAACATTTCATCAACATTTTGAACTTCAACTCATTGAAACTAGTTTTTTTTTTTTTTTTTTTCGCTTTCCTATATAATCCTAAACATAGTAAAGCCAATCAAAGCTATAAATCTTCTCTTTTATCATTTGGATGTTCGTCGCCTTTGATCACTCACACACTTCCATTACATGTCTTTATACTTGCTTCTTAGGCAATTCCCTTTGCAATCTCCTAATCAGATGCTTGACCGTTCTTGTTTACGCTTTCGCAATCTCCGTATATAAACTCTCTAGAATCTTGAGGATTTAGTTAGTACGGGAAATGGGAAAGCGCATACACTAATGGTCAACCATGTGACAAAAAGAGTGAAAACGGAATCTTGCATTAACATCAAATATAAGAAATGAGAATGATGAAATGAGAGTAGTCAGAAGTGAGGTTCATCCCTATGAATCTATGATAAAAATAAGAAGATTTCTATAATCAGATATTTACTCTGTCAATAGTAAAACATGTTTCAAATAATAATAATAATAATAATAAAAGAAAAAGTTTAATGCGAAAACATAATTCACCTTTGTGTTCTGTTCACATTCAATAAGAATATGAGAGACAAAAATTCATTCCCATGAGGTCAGTAAATAAAAGATCAATATATGATTCCAATCGATACAAGAACTTTTTTAAAAAAGTTATAACATAAATACAATATATAAAGAAACGGTTCAAATTATCACACAATGAAGACGAGAAATGAAAATTTGGATTTCTAAAAGATAAAACAAAGAGCAGGAGAGAAAACATGTTCATGATCACTACTTCAAAGACTAGAACGAGACTTAAGAGTTTTGAAAAAAATAGTAAGCAATAGAAAGGGAGGGAAAGGATAACTTTTTCTTAAAGGTTTTAAAGAATGAATGAAATTGTGAATAAAATAAGGATGTAACAGAGAATAGATTTTTGATATGTAAGTGTGAAGAAGAAAGAAAAACGAAAACCTCAATTTATAGCGTTTTAGAATTAATTTGGTGTTATTTTTAAGGTGAACATCTACCGTTGGATCAATGTTTTCTGATATATGTCATCCACGTTTCAAGTTTTTTTAAAAACATGTAGATTTTGTTTCTTATTTTTTTCTTGGTCAACGTTTTTTATTTATTGTTTCTTATATGACTATCTATTTAGTAATGTTTTTACCAAATTGACGTGATTTTCGTGGTAAACATTTACCGTTAGATCAAAATCTTCTAATATATGCCGTCCACATTTCAAGTTTTTGTAAAACATGTAGATTTTGTTTCTTATTTGTTTTCTTAGTCAAGGTTTTTTCTTTTTTTTTAATTACTATCTATTTAGTAATGTTTTTACCAAATCGACGTGATTTTCGAGGTGAACATCTACCGTTAGATCAAAGTCTTCTAATATATGCCATCCACGTTTCAAATTTTTTAAACATATAGATTTTGTTTCTTATTTGTTTTCTTGGTCAACGTTTTTTTATTTATTATTTCATATGTTACTATCTATTTAGTAATATTTTTACCAAATTGACATAATTTTCGAGATGAACATCTACCGTTAGATCAAAGTTTTTTAATATATGCCGTCCACGTTTCAAGTTTTTTTAAAAAACATGTTGATTTTGTTTCTTATTTGTTTCCTTGGTCAACGTTTTCTATTTATTGTTTCTTATATTACTATCTATTTAGAAATGTTTTTACCAAATTGACATGATTTTCGAGGTGAAAATCTACCGTTAGATCAAAGTTTTCTAATATATGCCGTCTACGTTTCAAGTTTTTTAAAACATGTAGATTTTGTTTCTTATTTGTTTTCTTGGTCAACGGTTTTTATTTATTGTTTCTTATATTACTATCTATTTAGTAATATTTTTACCAAATTGAGGTAATTTTCGAGGTGAACATCTACCGTTAGATCAAAGTCTTCTAATATATAACGTCCACGTTTCAAGTTTTTTAAAATATGTAAAAAAAATTTCTTATTTGTTTTTTTGGTCAACGTTTTTATATTATTATTTCTTATATTACTATCTATTTATTAATATTTCTACCAAATTGACTTGATTTTCGAAGTGAACATCTACCGTTAGATTAAAGTCTTCTAATATATGTCGTTCACGTTTCAAGTTCTTAAAATATGTAGATTCCTTTTCTTATTTGTTGTTTTTAGCCAATATTTCTTATTTATTGTATTTTATACTATCTATGATTTTATTTTTACCAATTTTTAAAAATTTATTTACCACTTGATGTTATTTTTAAGGTGAACTTATACCGTTTGATCAAAAACTTCTAATATAGGCCATCCACATTTCAAGTTCTTAAAAACATGTAGAACTATCTTATGGAAAACGGTTTTTAACACAGCATATTAGACCATCTCCAATGGTAAGTGCCATGAGGGGCTCTTACCATTTTTATAATTTTAAATTTTAACAATTTTAAAGTTTAGAAACTTCACTGGGGCTCTTAACAATTATCTTGTCCAATGGTAGGGCTCTTAACAATTTCAAAGTTTTATTTGGTGTTTGTTGTTTCGAGGTTTTGAAAAGAAAGATAGAGAAGAGACAAGTGAAGTTTGGTGTTTAAGTGTTGATAAACACATTTTGAGGTGAAGAAACAAAAGATGGATCGATGCAAATGGCTTAATGAATCTACTATAATACTTTAGCTGGACAAAGCAATGCTACCTTTAAACTGGACAATAAAATCTCATCTTAATATTTGAACATTGAAGAATTGAATTAGTATACCTTCATAAACCAAAAGTATTTGAACATGGAAGAATTGTAAAACAAGATTTAAACCAAAAAGAAACCAAAAGCTGATGATTTACATCTGATTGATTCTCAACAAATAAAACTACATCAAGAAACCAAAACAAGCTTCGTTTACCTCTGGACCGATGAGCTTGTTGCGTTTGTTTATGTCGTCAACAAATCATTCATCAATTCACAACTCTACAAGTCAATGCAATGCCACGATCACATCTACAAGTCAATGCAATGCCACGATCAGGACATGAAGTAAAATACTCAATGCTAAGCGTTCGTTAAAGATTGAATCCAAGACCAATAATCAATAACAACACCGAGTAATTCAAAATTCAGAACCCAAAATTCCAACTTAATATTAGCCTAAGCTAATTCCTCTCGAGCACAACATCCAAGCACTTAATCTAATTCACACACACCATATTACCAATGCTACACGATCCTAACATTTGAAACCAAACTCATCCAAAACTCCACTTTTGTTACCGAGGACAAAACAATCAATCAATAGAGTACAAGAGGACATCGACGTCCATATTAGCGATTATTTAGACGAAAACAATTTACCAAAATGTGTGTTTGTGTACTTCTATTTTGTATTAACGATTTGCATTTCTATTTATTATTGTACATTTTTAATTATAATTTAGTACAATATGTATTTAAAACATTTTCTCTAGTTTTTTTTTAATGTAATAAGAAAATAATTATTATATATATATATATATATATATATAATTTGATAATAATTTAGCAGTAAATGTAATTTTAATCATGAAAATATATTTAAGATAAAAACATGTCTATTTTAGTCATTTTGATATTACATATACATTCATATGCAAATGCAAATTGTTACAACCTAAACAAATCGAACAAAGTTTCGTTCAGATGGTTCATCCAGATGCACAACCAAATTAATTCAGAAACAAACAATATCCACATGAAATTATCTAGATGGATCATTTGAATGGATCATGTGGATGTATCATCCAGATGAACAAACGAACATTGCCTATGGAACAAAGCTTTGATCTACCCTTTTAGTATGCAAAATTTCTCATCATTTTAATTATCAAGTATTCGATTAAATACTGTTTGAATAACTTTGGGAACTCGGGTCTGATCCATAACATCAATCTTGATTAAGTAGTGAAGCTAGATATCATTAATTAAGGAGTGGTTACAAAGACTTCTAGAGATACAAACACATATTCACATGACATAAAATCTTGTTTCTTCTAGTTGGCATCTTTTTGATAGCCCGGTTCACAGAATTCTCCTCCAAGATCATCGCAGGCCTCTTCGCGGAAAACCCTGTTTCCAAGTCCAAAAACACACAATTAGAGACTTAAAATCAAGCTAAGAATCAGAGATAAGGAAAAGGAAAGGGTTTTAGAAAACGTGAAGTTTACGTTTTAGGGTTGTTATACTCTTCGTATTCTCTGTCAACGGGCTCTGAAGCCACGGGACGTGAGACGGGCTTTGTGTCGAGCTTGACTTCAGGGTATATGTCAGCAGAACAAGCGTATCCACTAATTACTTCGCATGCTTCAGCTGGGAAAACACTGAGTATACAGATGTGATTGAGTCAGTAGACGAGAAAAGAAAGAAGAGGAAAAGTAATCCAAGGACTTACGAAAGGAGGGAGGAGTTGTAGTCGACGGTGTTAGGATCAGAAGTTGAAGGAGATGATGCGTTGTTTGATCTGAGAGATGAGAGTCTTGAAGCTTTGGTTGCGTGAGGAAGAAGAAAAGTGAGCTTTGGAGAAGAAACTGAAGAAGGAAGAGGAAGAAGAATTGTTGGTTTGATGAACAGAGAGCCCTGCATTTTTGTAATCAGTTGATCTTTTCGTTTAGTGATTTTAGATATTTTGGTTCTGTTTTGGAACAGTTTATGCTTTATTATAGAAGACTTTTCAAACAAAAGAGACTAAAATCAATGGTCCAAACTTGATTCCTACATTTATTTAACAAAGAAGATAAAAGTTTGATCAGAAGGAAGATATATTTTTAAAAGGATAAGGTTCATGCTTTGTTGTTGTAACATGTGAGAACGAAAATCACCGGATAGTTATCCAATCTTTTTTGGAATTTTATGTGTTTTTTCTACTCCTCTGAGTCAGCAAAATCATATGATTGAGTCTCAATAATTGTCCTCTGAGAGACATCTTCATTATCAGTCATATGGGTTGCAAAAAGAAACAAAGCCCAAGTTTGAGTTTAAACTTACTCACCACAATTTCTGGTTCTTTATTTATTCAGTTTTTCTTAGGAGAAAAGATTATTATACATAACACAACAAATCTATAGCTCTTTCAAGTCCTTTTCAGTAACGGCGTACACTGGTTGTCGATAGAAGCACTCGGCTTGGTTTCTTCCCTCTCTTTCCGGGCTCTTTGATGGTTGGTGCGATTGGTGGTGTTGTTGTTCTTGATGTTACACTTGCGAATGATGTTATGTTTGTGTTTCTTGCACCTGAAAACATGTTTAGAGGTCATCAGAGAATCATATAAGAATTTGCAGAGCTAAAACAGTGGTTACCTGTGGTTGCGTTTGTGACTACGCTGCTGCTGCTTTGAGCGTTTGTTGGCTCTTTACTGAAGTTGGGAGAGTCATGGCCTGCTGCGAAACCAAGCCTTGTCACATGTGAGAAGGAACTTCTCTCTCCAATGTTTGGAGGGCTTGATGATATTGGGGCAGAGTTTCCAAGAGCTTAAGATTAACACAACAAAAGCTTCTTATTAGATCACGAAACCTAAAATCCAATTAAGAGGCCAGAGATTCTTATTGTTTACCTTCAAAGTCATCCAAGGAAAATGGAGGAAAGTCATCACGAGAGGACTGTCCAAAACTGGACATCAATGGTACTAGCTCTGCAGCTGCAGCTACTTCAGCTTTGATTTTATTTTTTCGATCCTGAAAAATGAACATCATATGATTTTTAGCCCTGAATTTTCCTTTAACAATAGAATTCAAAGGAGAGTAAGACACAAAGCAGGATCATTTGCTATATGTAATCAAGTTAAGAAAAAAAAATACTAACAAAAGTGAACAAACAAAGCCAAATGGAGGTTGGAATCTGAAAGATATTAGATAAAGAGACCATGACTTGTGTTTCATGGTTAGAAAGAGGAATACCTTCCTAGCACGGTCTTTCCTCTGCTTCTCACGCTTCTTAATTTCATCTATAAATGGAGCGAAGGCATCAGGAGGCAAAGATTCCCTCATATCAATCTCACATATCTGAAAAGATTACCAAACCAAGGATAACTTCATGAGAAAATGTAAAGATTAGAAACATATGCGAAGATAGGAGTAACCAAGAGAACATATACCTGAAACGTAGTTGTTAAAGAAAAATGACTTAAAAAGCGGTAGCGTCTCCTTATCGCTTCTGACTGGGTAACGGTCTCCATTTCCAGTATCTTTCCACTCACTCTATCGTTTCATGGATCAAAATCAGAACTCTATTAGGACCACAAACTACAAATGATAACATCTTGTACTGAACAAGTTTTACTTGAATGTATTGTCCGTTTTGCTTTTCATACTAAATAACAGTTGAGTCTTTATTGTTCTTGTTCTTGATTAATAAACGAAAGGTGCCATATATCATACACTTTTGAATCAGCATCCCAAATCCATGCAGAAATGATTAGGTAATGAAGACGCTTCCATTGCAACTTATTCCCTAGTCTTTGACAAATGAGAATTGTGATATATTACAGACCGGGACTCTTACCTTGGTGGAAGAAAGTCATAGCTGCCATAGTGATGCATAAGGCACTTCAAATTCAAAGGGTGAAGGATAATGTGCTGACCATCAACAGACTGTATAGGTACACAACCAGAGCACAAAGGTAAGAAAAATTAAGTATCTACGATAGAACCACCACAGTTATTAAACAAAACCACCTAGATTATCGAAAACAGATAATAACATTAAAGAGACCGACTCTAATATATTCAACGACCAGCCTATAGCAATAAAACATACATTATGCAGCTCATTAGTACTTTATGAAAACACAACAGTATGCATCAGAAACTGATTACCTGATAAAAGTTGTAAGCATCATTGTCCTTCAGGTCTTTGGTGTCATTTTGGTGCGACAGGAAACCTTTACTTTCATTGCATGAGGAAGATGATGGTGCGTCTACGTCATCTAGAGGATGACCATTATCACAACTCTTTTCCAAACTAGATTGAGATTCTCCATCGGACTTATCCACTGAAGAATCTTCAGCTGATTTATCTTGATCATTGGAGCCGCTATCTGTTGCTCCATGCGCCCAGCTGGGTGCTTGATAACCAACTCGAGAAACATCAGGAGGTGAGAATGATTGTGTCTGATTTCTAGCCGTTGTGCTCAATTTGCTGTAATAAGAGAGCTTATGCTCATTCCAGTACATTTTTCTCTGCTCCAAACGCTCCAAAGCAGCATTTACAAATAGATGCTTCTCCAAGTCTTCAACGAGCTCGGGATCTGCTCTTGCAATCCAACTGTCTAACTCCAAAACTGCTTGTCTGACAGAGAGATCAACATCTTGGGTAAAAGTGAACTTTGAGAACGGATCATATATCTCATTTTCACCATTAGGAACAGCCGAGTCATGCTCATTTTTCCGAGTTGGAGCAAAAGAATCTTTCTTGCGGGTCAAAAGTACAAACTCGATGGGATCTCCAACAGAACACTGCTTGACGTTTTCGATATAAACAGTGTATAACTCTCTTGGAGAAATCATCACAAAGCACAAAGGACACCTCTTGACGCAGTCCACCTTGTGGTTATCAACACCAATCAACAGGTACTGTAGAATACACGGGAAACAGAAAATATGCCCACAGGCAGTTATCTGCGGACATAGAGGATACTCCAAGCAAATCGGGCACTGGACAGGAGACGGAGTAGAATACCTAACACAAATAATATCATCCCACTGCAGCATTTTATCAGGATCCATGGAATCAGGAGAATGATCTCCAGTGTCCAAAACAACAAACTTATAATTGGCCTTAAGAAACAAATCCTTGTTAAAAGGCCTCCCCTTATACTGTTGCCTTCTTTGCGGTGGAGGACCCCTAGATTGTGGCGGCGAAATCGGATCATACTGAAAATTCAGTAAATGATTCCCACTTATCATATTAGCTCTTCTACCAGTTGGATTATGATGCGAAACACCGCCTCTAGGAGAATTAAAAGGTCTGGTATTATGCTGCAATTGAGAAGAAGAAGAAGAAGAACCAGCAGCTCCAGTACCTCTCCCTCGAGACCTATTCCTTCGACCATCATATCGGAAATGGTCACGCTTATCTGCATTAGGTGGGGAAAAACTCTCCTTCCCTGCTCCATTTAGCGTCATCTACAGCATAGAAACAACAATGAACCGATCATTCAACAAAAATTCAAAGCAAACTAAACTTAAAGTCTCCTCATTTACTGAGAAGTATCTAAAGTTTACCTCTTTGGAAGATCCACGGCTATGTCCCTCCTCAGCTGCAACAATCGGTTCTACAGTTAAAAACAAAAAGAATCATAATTGAGACATAAAGTGAGCTATAACACACTATAAATATCTCCAGAAGCTAAAAAGAAACCCTAAAGACAAAATCAATGTAAAAAAAAAAAACCTAAAATTTAGGGCAAAATCGAGTAGCTAAGTTTATCAATCAATTCCATTACCCCTAGAGCCACCGGAGAAATTGTGAGTGGATTCAGAATGTGCGGCGAATCGAGTTCCGGTGGAAGAAGAGATCCGGGAAGGAGAAGAGTTGTTGCCATGCTCAGAGCTAGGGTTTAGAGAGGAATCTGAAGAAGAAGAAGAAGACGAATTGTGACCTTGGATAATCGGAGGAGGCAAGATGGACATGAAAATTTTAGGGATGAGAGAGGGAATTTCGCCGGCTCAGAGCCACCGCTTCTTCTGTGTTCACTTTAAATTTTTTTAACCAAGGCCAAAAAACTCGTCGTCTTTTGATTTTTCTTTTAGAGTCTGCTCTGCGTACCCGACCCGGATCCGTTAACCCGTAATATGATTCCTACGCGGGCGGATATACCCGAATCTTTATCACACAGTTAATGTAATAAAACACCGGTTTGAGTTTATCTACTTTTGTGTTCGGTTTGATAATATATATATTTTGTCAACATGCAACACATGTAGAGTTTAACCTTAAACCCTAGTTAATGAGGGTTTACATTTTAAATAACTTTTTATTGTTAGAAAAAAAGACTTTAAAGTATCTGAATTTTCTAAAAAGTATAATATACTTTCTCGTTTTTATCATATAAGCGTTTTGGATAAAGATTTTTGTTTTCCAATATAAATTATTTTAGAGTTTCTATGTAAGTTAAGTATATTATTTTAATATTTTATGATTATTTATATTATACAGTTCATTTTATGTTTGGTTGAACTTTTAAAAGTAGATTTTTTTAATCGGAGGAAGTATATTAACTTATTAAACGCAAAAATTGCGTTCGTCATCGTTGCAATTACCCGAAATACGCCGACCACGGTTGATCCATTTATTGATTTATTTAAAAGACCAATGCAAATTAAACTTGCATCAGACACTTTCATTCAAACTGTTTTGTTTTCTAGATCACAACGTGTGTTATTTCAAAACCTATGTATGTTGCTGCTCTTTGTCACCAACCATTTCAATGTGATTATCAAACTTGATCAAGAAGGTTCGGATTTCCATGGGAACAAGCTCAACCACTAGCTTCTCCACATCCACCGCTTCTCCTCTCTTCACTTCCTCCCCGGCCGAGCCTTCTACTTTCCAGATTAGCCGTCTTTTCTCCATCTCCGCCTTCTCTTGGTTCCCTGAAAGACTTGTCTCCGTCACTTGGCTTATCTGTGCAAACAAATAAAACAGAACAGCAATTGTTTTTGTTAAACACAGTAAGACAAATAAGAGATGGCTCGTCTTTTTTTGGCGTACCTTGTTGTTGTGGAATAGTTTCTTGAGCTCTACTTTTGCCAAAACTGAGTACTCACTATCCTCCCCAACCTTCACAATGTTAACAAGACAGTGACTCAGAAGGATTCAACTTCAATGAAACCATTAAGAGGAGATAAAAAAAATTCCACTTTAGATTTTAACCGCTGCTTAGTGATCCAAAGGTTTCTAAAAAGGTAAAACTGTCACAGTTCATGGGTTCTCAATTTGAAACGAATTAGTAATGATTGAACTGGACCATGTGCCTTCTAGATTACTTTAGGTCTCATCTTACTAAGATAAACCAAACATAATCGTCGTGAGAAATGACATAGCACGAAGAACAACTGCATAGTCAGTTTTTGAGAAGTATAAGCATGAAAACAGTTTGATTTGGGTTAAAATTACACTCTAAACGTTACGGTTTGGTTCTAAGAACTAATTTTATACAAGAAATTGTTTTGGTTACCTGGCACTGCAAGATTTGGGTTTTCTAAGTAATGCAAGTTTGTCAATATCTCTAATTACTCGCTATCTTAATCAGCCTAGTGTTAAACTACATTTCCACAACCAAAAAGCACATAGCTATAACACATTAACGGTGGAAACGCGTAGAGAGAACACGTAAGAACCTCGAATAAGTGAGCAAGCCTTAGAAGAACTTCCCCATTTTCCAATTCCTGAAAATGTCAGAATTAATCATAGTGTGGTCACTAATAAAACGTCTTTTTGATATATTTACAGAACACAGTCCAACTAACCTGGAGGGTGAGTAATGCGACGTTTTTTGGTAATGAGTATGACGGTTCAAACGCGGAGAATGTCGTCTTATGTGAACTAATCCAACTATCACCTTCCTACAAAAAAATAAAAAAAAGTACCTAATCTCACCTCACTATCTAATAGAAGTGGAGGGATGTAAATATTTCTATTTTAAGAGCAACCTGTTCTGTGAATGCTAGAAGTAGTGGAGAATAAATTTCTTGACCAAATGTTCGACGCCATTTTGCCCCATCTCCGGGTTTATCTATCTGTACATAAAACTTCCCTTGTATCTGAAAAACAACTCAAAGTTACCTTAACTGTTATAATACCAACTAAAAAGAACCGATTTAATACCACCTTGGAATGAGCTCTGTCACATGTTCCCTTAAAAGCTGATACATTGCAACTTAGACGGCTAAAAATGATATGAGAACTTAAACTTACCGTTAATCCTTTGCATCCTTCAGGGAGACAGACGGTTTCATTAAGAATCTCGCCAACACCTCTAATGTCATCATGCTGCATTCTCCTAGGTGAATGAAAAAAAAAAAAGGTAAAACACAAGAAAAACACATATGCTTGTCTTGCTTATATAGAGAAAGTTAGTTGACAGACCGATGAAGCATCAACTCAATCTGGCCGTTCTCTAAGCTGGATCCACCTACAGCTCGATCCACCAACACCGATAGCTCTGAGGTTTTATCTTGCATGTATATCCCGAGATTAATCTGAAAGAGAAATATATTATACAAAAGGCATATATAATGTGGCTCAGTCGAGTGTGAGACCTAAGTACACAACGAGAAGGAATCTCAGATGGATTTGATGCCTTACGGGATAATAGTTCCCAGCAACCGGTTGGTACACTTGCAAGTCCCAATCTGTTCTGAAGTCTCGAATCTGCAAGAAATTTAACAAAGTATCTTACAATAAAAAACAATACAGTTGTTACAAAAATAAAAACAAACTACTACACATGAAGTTTGCATCTAATACCCTTTTGATGAAGTCACGGCCATTAGAGTCTGTGTAAAATGTTCCATTTGTCTTCATGGTGGTTGTAAGTTTAGTGATAACCTCCTTGCTAATACCATCATCAGCTGGTATAGGCCCAACCTAGAAAGTAGGAAATAATAATACTGAAATTTCTCTTCATCAGTTTAACAGGAAGAATTGTGAAAAGAGATCAACTCACTGTGAACTCAATTTCAGCATGGTTTTTTCCCTTGTACACTCTGGTAATCTGCAAATTAACAGACCCATAACCAGATGGATCAAAACAGTTATAGCTACTGTGATGAAATTAAACTGTTCGAGAGCAATAAATAGTTGCAAAGAGAAAAAAAACCTGTGATATCCAGGAGTTAAGCTCCTGGTGCACTTCATCGAACAGAGGTCCTCGAACAATAGTTAATTGAGCCTGAGTCAAGCAAGACAATTAGTTTTCTTTTGTGTTTTCACATACTGTCCGGAAATAAGGTTATAGATGCAACTTATATGTATTACCTCTCCTACAGATTTAATTGGAAGCACACCATCTGGTCGAAAAACGTAAGCTCCAGAAGCCTTATAAAAGTATATGAGAATGGTTCAGACACACAACAAAAAGATAGCTAAGTAGATAAGGTTGTATCTGTTAAAGAGCTGAGCTACCTGAGGATCCTTATCAGTTCCATTGCTTCCAATGTAATAAGCATATGATTGTTCTGCAGTAACCTTAAAATGCACCACAAATCAACATCATATGATGTTTACATATCCGAATGGAAAAATAGTTAAGTTAAGATTTAAAAAAACAGACACACCTGATTTTTAGTACTTAAGTGACGAGTCATTTTCACTCCCTCTTCCGAATAGCGTAACATTAGATTTCCCTGGCCAACTTCTACATTTTCATTCATGCTTCCAGAAGTAACATATGAAGCAGATAGTCCACGCGCTTAATCAAATTAGAAAACGAAGATGCAAGTAAATACATAACATCCGTTGGTATCAGTGGCGAACCATATGAAGTTGTGGCTAGTAGAGCTAGAACATCTGAAGTTGTATTCAAGATCCTATAATTCACAATAAATATATGACACAATATTAAAAATTCTGAAACATACCTGTTCGTCCAGTGTCTGAGATGACATACGAGCTAAACCCAAGAGGTGGTACCGAAGCTGTAAATGCAAGCACGTGTTTTGCAGTATCCCTTGGTGATCCTCCCAGATACGCTTTGACATACTCGTTTCTTATTCTCAAAGCGATGTCTGAAAGAGGTAGAAGCTGAGACACGACTTCTTTCCCAGATGCATCTTTCACAATAACATTTTCAGACGACACCTATAAAGAAGTTATAAGGTAGATTTGGTAAGTAATATTGGATAACAAACAAAGATAAAGTGAGAACTACACTGGTCAACCAAGTAGATAATAAAATACTTACAGGAACTCGGACAACTTCCTCTCGTTTCCATCCTAGAGAATTGTAAGCAACAACCACCTACAAGGAGAGATCAATGTGAACAGAAGATAAAAACTAACCAAGAGGTCCAAGACTTCATAGACTCAAAGTAAGCCTGTCTGATAGACTTACCAAGCTTTTCCCGCTGGACAGACGAGCTTCAGATGCAGGACAGTAACTGATATTAAGCAGGGGACACTGCCAATTTGATGTACAAAATAAGAATCAGCTTAATTTAGGACACTGTCTTTGGAACTTGAGTTCAAGTTATGAAAATGCTACAAAGCAGCTTACTAAAACTTCTACGTTGCCTTCGGCAACAGCTTACTAACTATGTTGCCTTCACCACCAAAATTCGATCTCAATGTCTTTTCAACTCTTCTAACACGGCCATAGTATTATTAGAATCCTAGAAAAATCTTAAACAAGCACATTACCTGCTGAAATTTTGTGCCAGGATTCTTCTTTTCAGTACTTGATTTTGCTGCTGATAGAAAGGAAAGGGAAGATGCAACCAATTTCTCGGCCTAGTAATGATCATAGAGAAATTCTTAAACCGCTGTACCCACAAGAGAAACAAAAATTGCATGAACAACACATGAGATGCCTAACTAAAACGCACCTGCAGATAACCCATTGAGAGTCTAAGAGCATAATCTGCAGCCACATGCTGTCTTTGTGTACCACTAACTGCATCATGGTGTTGAGCAATTGCCAAAGCATCGGCTAGCATATCAGTTGTTGGTCCTGAACTATTCCTACCTCTCAAGAACTCTAATTGTCGAGCTGCCTGTTTCAAAACAGATAAGGCCA